GGCAAGAGAATCGCTTAAGCCCAAGAGTTTGAGGTTGCTGTGAGCTGTGACACCACATTCAACAGAGAGTGACATAGTGAGACTCTTGTCTCAAAAAAAAAAATTAGTTTGGCTATTGGATAGTGAGCTTCTAATAAGAAATCTGGCAAAGGAAACTAATTACAAAAATGAGGTTTTAAGTTTGTTTGTGGATTTTCTTTATCAGTATTTCTCTCTTACAAACCCTCACTGAAAAGTAGAACTGTTATACACTAATCCTTCCTTTAAAGTTAACAAATACTATAACCTGTCTTGGAAATCTTTCAAATGATCTGTTTTGAGTAGCCTGTTATTTCTCTAACTGAAATCATTGCATTAATATTTGATATAGAAAATAGTAAATTTGCTCTAATTAGCCCATCATTTTTTAATACATATTCTTCTTAGAATAATGAAACCCCTCGTTATGAGGTCATTGTGCTCTCTAAAGCTTTTTATTAAGTTTGAATCTAGGCCATAAAGATCCAAGGAATAAAGTTACCAAGGCTTAAACAAACAAACAGACTCCAAACTGCTTTATCTTATAGTTGAGAAGGTATCCGCTCTATATACACGCTATCTAAAGATTTTTTTAAATTTTCTTCTTAGAATCAGATTTGTTGGTAGAAGAATCTATATTAAATCAGTCCATTGAAGACCCTGGAAAACTTAGCAGCCTACGAAGGAGAAGGCGACCATTCAACCGAACAACGGAAACAGTTCCTAAACTTTCTTCTCAGCGTTCCTCTGGAGATGTGAGCTTAGAGACCAAAATGGGGGTTACAGGTAGCTGTCACCTGGTAAACCGAGATGAACAATTATATTAATGTAAAGTAGAACGTGCCTCTTATTTGTAAGATATATCCATTAAGAGGCCTCCCCTTCTTCTCTCCTTTTTGGATAATGTTTTTCGAACAGTGAATTTTTAAAAGGTAACTATAAAAGAGGGTTACAAAATGGCAGACACATGGCAAATACAACGGTTTTATTTGGCATACATGGCATTTTAGAAATTAAGACATTTTTCTATAAAAACTCAGATCTGACAATCCTGGACCCAGATCCCCTTCCTAGCAGCAGTTGGTTGGAGCTTACTTGCAGCTGTGCTGTTAGCAGTGTTACCCCAGCTTGCCACAGCTCCCAGCACGGTCACCATCCTCCCTCCTTCTGGACTGCTTTGCCCGTTTATTTCCTGCCTACATTTATAGACATTTGATTTCTACCTTTGAATATACTGCTCTTACTCCTATGTACTCTGAGGGCCAGCCCAGCAAAATTGTAAAGATGGAATTTGACTTTTATTATCCTCACTCTAATTTTGAAGACATCTTGCTTCTACTGACTGTTATTGTCTCCTCTTAGAGTTATAAAACTGTCATGCCTTCTTCTGAGACTTATATCTTAATGTGAATATGTTTATCTACTATTTAAGAGTAATGGCTCTTTAATTTTGGAATTTTTTTTTTTTTTTTTTGAGGAGGGGAGCATTCTGTGTAAGCCCAACTCAAATATTATTTGCAGAGAGAGTACTTAGCTAGGTATCATGCTTGATTGATGTATTGAATTTCTTCTTTAATTTTAGAGTAAATTAATTTGTAATGTAAGTCAAATTTGAATGATTGCTATAGGTTTTCTCTTTGTAGGCTGTTTCCTGTTACTCAGGGTATCAAAATCAAAAAGGAGGTACAGGGAATTCATTCTAAATTACTTTCTCTTTACAAATAATTTTTAAAATTTTATTTTCAGTGCTTTTCAAATGAATATTAAATTTTTGTCAGTTGTAATCATAGTCCTTATCTAATGCAGCTTTTTTTCTTATGATCTGCAGGAAAGAAAAAGGAAGTGGAAAGCTGTAGTACTGCTGTTATTGTGGTGATGAGTATTTTGTAAGTATTTGCTGTGAATGCTTATTTTACTTACGTTTTCATTTTTGAACTAGTTTCCAAAAGAATTTGAATGCATCTGTATATTATTGTATAGAAATTGCCACTATTTGGCCAATGTTGGCCTACAAAAATAGCAGTTTTATAGGGTACAGTCTGATAGTTTTTGATGTATTTTTAGAAGAATTATTACATTTGAGAAAATACAGAGTATACATTCATAATTCTTTTTTATTTTTTAACTAATCTAATGTATCTCTGTCATCACAGGTTTATATGGGAAGTTCCATAAATTTAAAGGGAATATTTATGTATGTGAAGTTTCAAAAATGCTAATTTATTCTATTTGATTGGATGAGAGGTTCTTACCCTTTAACGTGCATAAAATTCACTTGGGGAAATTGCTAAATGTGCAGATTTCTCAGCCCCAGTTGCAGAGATTGATTCAGTAGGTCCTGAGTAGGGATCAGGAATCAGTATTTTATTTATTATTTCAATAGATTTAGGGGGTACAAGTAGAGTTATGCTACATGGATGAATTATGTAGTGGTGCTGTCAGGGCTTTTAGTACCCAGCTCCCAAATAGAGTACCTTGTGCCTGATTGGTAATTTTTGATTCCTCCCTTCTGAGTCTTTGAAGTTGGTTGTACCGCTCTATAATAACCATGTATACCTATTGTTTTGCTCCCACATATAAATGAAAACATGCAGTATTTGCTTTTCTATTCCTGAGATACTTAGGATCATGGCTTCCAGTTCTATCTAAGTTGCTTTAAAAGAAATTCGTTCTTTTTTTTATGGTTGAGTAGTAAGGAATAGGTATTTTAAAACACATACCCCAGGTTATTCTGTTGCAAGGAATCTGAGCGTCCCATGGTGAGAAAGACTGGGGCAATTAGTTTAAATTTCAGGATATTTTATAGGAATCTATTAGCTAGTCTTAGTAGAGTATTAATATTTACATGGCTCTATATGAATCTTGAGGCAGTCCCTTAGATTTAAATGAATTGGTTCTGACTCAGTGATATGCTCTGGGTGATAATTTTTTGGAAAAAAAAAATTAGCTGTTTTTTCCTAATTGTAGCTTTCAAAACATAGAAGATGTTATTCCTTAGAGTTTTATAAAAGGTTTCCATATTCTGCTTAAATCAGTTTGCTGTGACAATTTTGAATAGCAAATATTATCAGTGTTTTTTTTGTATTAATTTGTGAAAAATTTATTTACATGTTGAAGTATTCACCTATATACTATTTCAATGCCATAATACTTTCATAAATTTGATTTTCTTGATATTACTTTTAAGTTTAAAAAAATATTCCC